GGTAATTACGACCTGGCGTGAACGCAGCAAATGAAAACTTACTTAGCAACCATAACAACAAAGGAAACAATGTCGACAAACTAAAAAAGTCCTTGAAAATTAAACGGGAACAACAACAGAACGAGACAATAATAATATTTAAACTAACACTGGTTAGAATGCAGAATACCAGAATGCACTGCAATTTTATTAAAAATGCATTATTTTATTTTAGCCAATATTTGTGTGTACAATGTTGTTAGCTAAGCAACATGCTAACATGTTTACCCTTTAGTTGCTCCTCATGTACAGAATCAATTACTTTTTAATTACACATTATGCACTGCAGCAATTGATATGCAAATGCTCCATAATGTTAATTTTTAGTGCCATGAAAACTGATCCAGTGATTATTTTTGCTGGCAAAACATCCTGTTTTTGATCGGATTTTCTGTAGCTACAATAAAAAATACACTAATGGGGTCAGTAAGATTTTTGAAAATAATTGTATTGTATTTTATTCATCAAGGACACATTAAATGGATCAACGTTGAATTTAAAGACATTTATAATGTTACATATTTCAAATAAATGGAATCCTGCAAAAATAATGTATTATGGATTTCACAAAAATACAACACAATGGTTATAATAAGAAATGTTTCTTGAGTAACAAATTAGGATATTAGACTGATTTCTGAAGGATCATGTGATAATGAAGACTGGAGTAATGATGCTACAAATTCAGCCATCACAGTAATAGATTGACATTGTAATAATATTTTACATTATTACTGTTTTTACTGCATTTTTTATAAAATAAATGCAGCCTTAGTGAACGTAAGAGAACATATTATTTCAAAAACATAAAAAAAATCTTACAGACCCCAAACTTATGAACAGTATAACTGGAAAAAACTAAATTCATACCTATAGTTGTGTAGCCCACTAAACATTTTGGGCTGTTCATGTACGGGACGGCTACTATGGACTAATAATAAAGCAACTTGGTAATTTCTAAAATTAAAATCTCTGTCAGTAGACAAGGCACCTCAATAGGTATTGAAACAAAGCAATCGTGTTGATTCGCAAGCACTTTCACCCCAAGTTTGGCATGTTTAGAATTCAGTTAAGCCATTATTTAGTTCCATTCTTCCTTGTAGAGACGTTCTTCCTTTTGCACTGATGTTACATTTTTTGGTTATTTTCATGGTGACACTTTCAGTCATTTATTTCCTGCAAAAAAAAGAAAAGAAAAGAAAAAAAACCTGCCCCAAGTACACTTTTACCGTTACATCACACACACACAGATTTGAACTTATCTATTTTTCCATAAATGCTTTCTCTTTAGGTCAATGCTGGGCCACTTGCGTATGCCAGAGCTTTCCTTGATGACGCCTGCGCCAAAAAATACCCAGATAACAAAGTCAAACAGCTTAAAGAGGTCTTCAGGTATATAACCACCGTTTGAAAAGCCTTTCAAGATCTCCACACAAATGCCTGCTTTCTTATTATACGTGTTTATGTGGTGTTTGTGTATGCAGGCAGTTTGTTGAGGCATGTGGACAGGCTTTAGCTGTAAATGAAAGGCTGATCAAGGAGGACCAACAGGAATATCATGATGAGATGAAAGCCAGTTACAAAGACCTGGCCAGAGAGCTTTCACACATCATGCATGAACAGGTAACCACACACATACACACAAATCTTGGTTCCCTAATGGCCTCGATATACTCATGGGAAAGTTCTTTTTCACTTTTCACTTAGGGATAAAAACAAGTTTGATATACAGTATCTTAGCAGCAATATGCTGTTAGCAAACGTCCCGACGCCACCCCTAGGAGCAGCGTTTAAATGAATATGTAAATATGTGCTTCGCTTCCCTCTCAATAACAAAATAAACACGCAACAGAAATGTGTGGTGAGAAAACAACAGTTAAGAAAGCATCTGATCATAGCGATGTGGACATGTTTGCATGAGCTCGGAAATTTTCCACTTCAGTCCTGTCACGTTACGTTCATTTAAAGCACTTTATACAATAGGTTGCTTTAAAGCAAGCAGCTTTACAGTATTAATCATGAAAAAATTATAATTACTTGTGTTCATGTTTTTGCTCATGTCTGACCTCAATGCACTGAACGGAATATTTCCCCTTCAAAGAAGGCGGGGCTTCAGAGCCTGCCTATTACGTAGTTGGCGTGGACCAATGGTAGTTTGTTACCAGCTGGAGCAAACTTTTTCGGAAAGTTTGCTTTGGAAAGCTATTTCAACTTCCTTTTGGCCTCATTTAGTTCAAAATGACATCACACCAGTTTGTTCTTCGATTTCAATTGAAGTATATCGGGGCCTTTACGCCAATGGAAACACATGGAATAAGAAATACACTAGTAGTTTACCGTGAATGTTTGGTTTGTGTTTAATATTCACTCGTTCTCTCTCTCTTTTGTGCTGGCCTTTGTAGATCGGATGGTAATAATGCAATGAATTCTTCATATTTTTTAGAAATTCAGTACACCTCAAGTTTCCGTGTTCTTTCTCATCCTGCACTCTTCCTCTTTGTCAGATCTCCGCTGTGGAGGGCGGAACCAAGAGCGCTCTTTCTGATTCGCTGCATATTTTCAATGCCATCAGTGGCACGCCCGGCGGCACCACCCTGCATGGCATGCCTAGCTCCGCCTCCTCCGTGTGACTTCTCACCCCTGGCCTTAAAGCTCTGACCCTTCCCACAGCCGGAGAGACGGACAGACTGGAATGCATCGAAAGCGGAAGAACCAAAAAAGAATGGTATTTCATTGTCAGCCTGGTTTCTACTCAGTCTGTAATGGATCGCCCATCTATCAGAATCCAGGACACGAGGACAGATCAGGTGTGTCCGGTCTTTGGAATGGCCTGTTACTATTCCCATGTGACTGACATAATTGAAAGAGGGTGTTTTTGTTCTTCTCTCATCCTCTCCAGTCCTCCGTTCACAGGTGTTTCCTGTAGAGACTATCACTTTTATTTCCACAACCAGAACAACTTGAGAAAAAAAAAAGCCTTTTTACTTTTACATTCTTACATTTTCATGCTTCATCTTTCCATGTATTTCCCCATTCTGGATGTTAATTGCTGCTCTGTGCTGAGAGAGAAGCTGCGACATCACTTCCTGTGTCTGAGGCAGTAGCGGTCCATCGATTGGTAGCAAAGAGAATATAACTGTGCTTTAGTGTAGCAGGAAGTTTGAGCTTTACTGTACAAAATACCCATGATCACCTGAGCCACTCAAGCTTTTTAGCCCACACTTCCATTGTTTTCCCCTTGTTTAGATAAAAGCCAAGGAACAAGTGCTGTTTCTTTGTAGCTGAGGTGCAATAATTCTGTCTTTGTCTCGTTTTGGTTCCCTTAAGATCTCTTGCCAAAGGCTAGATGTGAAATATATATATATATATATGGACAAAAGAATAAACAAGGATTTTTATAACCATTTATGTTTGTTTAAATGTACATTGTTTTGTATCGGGGGTTAGATATGGGGGGTATTTTTATTTAAAAGAATCTGTTCTGGAAAGATATTAATGTCCCTAAAATCTCTGAATAAAATGTATTATCTTAAGTTCTTGTTTTTCATTCAAAGTTGCTCCCTATAAACATATTTATTTTATTCATCTTTATTACTGTGAACTTTATTATTCACCAACCAATATCCTTATGAAGATCATTAGAAACTAATTTGTTTTCCTCATATCTATATGTTTGGTTTATGGCGTACCACCTTTAGCACGATTGCAAAAACATTGGCCTATCTTTTATGCTGTTACAGTATATGTGATTGTTGCCACTTTTAAAGCACCCAAACATTATATATTGTTCAAAAGAGATATAGAATTTTGACGGGAGTATAAGATTTAATTTAGCTTTTTAAAGTGCATTCTGAACAAAACCTGCTGACTTGCTCTCAATCTACACACACAGTCGCTCATGCCGAACTGCCCCTGCCCCTCCCCCCTCCAGCATTGTCACCATTGTATCGCAGCAACATCTCTGTGTGGATGAGGGCAGTTTGTTTACTTCTCTCTTCCAATGAATTAGACATCTCCAAACACCTTTCACCTAATGTGAGTCTTCATGTCCAGGTTATCTTCTGCTTTTCAGTGCACTTAGCTTATGCAAGCCATTTCAACATTGTTTAACAGCTGACAGTGTGCTTTGTGAAAGTGTCATTCACAACACTCTAACTTAGCAGTCAGTAAATCCCATAATGTAAATGGGACTTATCTATGCAGCTGCTGCGTTTGTCTATGTTATGGGGATTTCTCTGGACAACGTGATCAATGGCATTATTGGGGGTATTTAGAACAATCATGTGATGTTGGGAATGTTTTGATGCGCCAGCATAATTTATCATATCTAATCAACTGTAGTAAGCTGTTTCAGATAGAAAAGTTAAATATTATTTTAAATCAGCCTCCATTTAAACTTCATTCGTGGGAGTCATATTTTAAGGTTTTGTAAGATAAACATAATTATTATTGGGTAGATACAACATTAACAACAGAAAAGTGTATTTAAATGACTTGAAATTATTTTTTAAAGAATATAAAATAAAAATAACTATTGTTTCATGTTTAAATCTTTGATTTTACTTTTTATATATATATATATATATATATATATATATAATATGGGAAACAATGATGTTTAGTGCTTTTCTATATAGGTTTTTTTTTTTTTTTTTTTTTTTGAATGATGAAAAAATAAGTATATTAATTACTCATTGACTTGCCTGTTTTATTACAAAGGCCAAAAAGTCCTATCGTTTGATTGGCTTTATAACTTGATAAGAGTTCCATAAATAACTAAACTGTTCCTCAATTGCCTCCTCCCACTCATACGCACACACATAGTCACAGGTCACAAATGCTGTCATAAACATTTACCTCAATCTTTTTTTTAACACAGTGGTGGACAAGGAAACATTTTATTGTCCAGAGTCTATAAAACCTTGTTACCTGTCTCCGTCAGAGTACATCTCTGTCTCAGATAGTGTGTGTGTGTGTGTGAGAGTGATAGAGAGTGAGTGAGTGTGCATCTCTATATTAAAGGATATTCTTTACAAGAGGACTAGTTGGCAGTCTCAGTCATCATGGCAGGTGAGTAAACCTGGATGTTTATGGGCACAAAATAATAATAATTCCTGTTAACTTTGGATTTGTACATCTGAATTTATAGCTAAGAGAGAGTTAATGTGTTTATTCTTTGCTTAAACAAGATGATGCACAATTTGTGCAAGTTTATGTTACAATGTGAAGACATTTGAAATAACTCAATTCAAATTTAATCCATATTAGGACTGTTTTAATGACATTTTCATTGTACATAATTTCTGCAGACACCGAGGGAAAAAAGGAGAGGAAAGAAAGGGTGAGAACTCTATATTATACATGTATATATATACACAGATCAACACATAATTAGTAAGCATTATGTTTTATAGGATAATCATATAAAACATATTATAATACTAATATGCCAGAGCACATTATTAGGGAATATTTTAATTGAGCTGTGATTTTTCATTGTAGCCAAGTTGCTTGGGATATCCTGTCAGTATATTTTTCATTGTGGTGAATGAGTTCTGTGAGCGATTCTCCTACTATGGCATGAAAGGTAAGAATACACAAAAAATATACACACATGAAATAATGTCAACCTTCATCTCTGTTTTACTTGTTCCTGCAAAATGACCATAGATGGTCTCACACAGCTGACACTTTTTCTTCTTATTTCACATTGTTTTCTTTCCTTTCTCTGTTTTGCAGCGGTGCTGGTGCTGTACTTCAAGTATTTTATTGGTTGGGACAATGATTTTTCCACCACCATCTACCACACGTTCGTGGCTCTGTGCTACCTAACACCCATCATGGGGGCCATAATTGCAGACTCGTGGCTGGGCAAGTTCAAGTGAGTTTTAGAATTATGTTCAAAATGGACCATGTACCATACTATCCCTATTAGGAATCCAATATGCAGTATACCAAGTCAGGGACTTTTTTATTCTAAGCACCCTAGCTATGATGATCAATGTAAAGGACAATTTGCCTGAAATTTCAAAACAGCTACATGGCATTCAAAAGTTTGAAGTAAAAAAAAAAAAAAAAAAAAATGTATACTTTTATTCATCAAGGATGCATTCAATTACTCAAAAGTGAAAGTAAAGACTTTTACATTCTTACAAAAGATTTCCATTTTAAACAATGCTGTTCTGATAATTTATCTAATCTAATAATCTGATATTCTTGAGTAGCAAATCAGCATATTAGAATGATTTCTGAACGATCATGTGACTGAAGACTGGAGTGATAGCAGTTTCCTGCGGATCTAGGCAGGTGGTGCTGGGGAGGTGGAGGGGCTAAATTAAGAATTTGCATAGCGCACAGAGTTTCATGGCTAAACTATTCATTTAAATATACTAAAATAGAAGACAGTTCTTTTAAATAGTAAGAATATTTTATTTTTACTGTATTTTTGATCAAATAAATTTTGACAAACTTTTGAATGGCAGTGTGTGTATTTTAAAACCCATTGTGTGGCAAATAGTAAGTGTAGAATTAAATTTTTTTTAAAACAATCATGGAAATATTATTACATTTAAAATAATTATCAATAACTCTATTTGCATAATAATTTAATTAAATTTTTGGTAACACTTTAGTTTAGGATGCAATTCTCACTATTAACCAGTTGCTTATTAGCATGCATAATTACTAAGATATTGGCTGTTTATTAGTACTTATAAATCACATTCTGCATGACCATACATCCCTTAACCCATATCCAATTCCTACAAAAATACCTAAACTTAACTACCTTACTAACTATTAATAAGCACTAATTAGGAGTTTATTTAGGCAAAAGTCGTAGGATTTTTGCTCCACGCATGCATCCTCTTTGATCGTAGAAAATTCCTGTGCATATGTGGAGCAAATATCTCGGTTAAGGAGTGTTGTGCACGCAAGTTAAGGTGTTTCAACTGTCCCTCTGTTCTAACTGTACATGGTCTACCCTACTAAGTACCCATAGTCAAAAGACTTATGTGTGTGTATATGTATTTGTACATTACCCCTCATCTCGACTTTTCCCAGGACTATTGTGTACCTGTCCATAGTGTACACCATTGGCCAGGTGATCATGGCTGTGAGTGCCATCCATGACATCACAGATACCAATAGAGACGGTGTTCCTGAAAATATGACCTTTCATATGTGAGTTACCGCTTGGGACATGTTTTATCATTAACAGATTGGAAATATTATTGTGAATATGAGCCAAAGAAAACAAATAGCATGATCTTTATTAGGTGCCACATAAAACAAACATATTTAAATGTACTGGCATTGCTATTGTTGCTTTATTTCATCACATTATTTGCATGATCAGAGTGTCTTTAGTGTGAATTTAAATTTCCTCTCTTATCTTAGTGCCTTGTCCATGCTGGGACTCATCCTCATTGCCTTGGGAACAGGAGGTATTAAACCCTGTGTGGCAGCGTTTGGAGGAGATCAGTTTGAAGATCACCAGGCATGTGGACTCTTATACACACACGCACACACACGCACACACACACACACACACACACACACACACACATATACATGCATTTAACAGACACACACCCATCCCTAATCAGATATTAAAGAGGATGAACTGTGTCTGTGTAAATCAGCTGTTATCAGCTCAAGGTTAAGTCTCTGATATTGAGTGCTAGAGATGAACAAATAGAGATATGAAGTGACTACACGTGGATTCCTACACCCCCTCCGCCCCTGCCACAGGGATGTGAGGTCTAAAGGCCAGTAGACAAAGTGTGAAACATGCTGTGTGACACATTGAAGCCCAATGTTAGAGAAAAACGTATGTGTCTATTAGGGTAATAGATCAACATTCCTCATATTGTAACATTTTGTTTCAGACACGCTTGCATGTTTTCAGGCAGTACACATTTCTGAGGAACTTTCCCAACACTGAAAAAGTTCAGAATTATTGTTGTTTGGAAGAAATTAATACACTGTAAACACTAACACTCAATTAATTGGTTTGAGTAGGGCAAACTTAAATTAAACAGATTAGTTCAATCAAATTAACTTTTGTGAGTATTTAGAACGTACTTTTTCTTTTGAGTTCACTGACACCTTTTAAGTAATCTGAATTGTTTCATTGGTTTGAGTTTTATAAACTTGTTTCTTTTTATTTAGACAAGCTTAAATTTAACTGAAACTGGGCTGAGCATTTTCCAGCACTCGACACTCGAAAGGGAGAGTAAATGCTAAATTTAAGAGTTATATCATGTTTTTTAAGAGTTATATCATGTTTTTTGTGCACGATTAATGTTAAGTGGGAGATTTAGTAGTGTTTATTGTTTTGCTATGCTAATTTAGAAGAGTTTCTGTAATGATGGGTTTTTGGAGGGTTACATCACAGTGACAAGTTGAGCATGATGTGGTAAATATTTAATATTGCCGTACTCATTCAGCAATTGCTATGCTATTCTAATGCTATCAAAGCATTGTGTTACCAATTAGCAAGTTAGCATTTATTTATAATAGCTAGTTAAAGCTAAGTTTCCACTACTAAAAATATTTAAGTTGAAATTATGATCAGTTAAATGCATGAATTAGCTTACTCATACATTTGAATTACTCTTAACTTTAAAGATTTGTGTACAAAATAAAAATTTCTTAACTTAAAAATGTTGATGCAAGTGATTACCTAATTTTTTGGGGGGGTTTTCAAGGATGCATTGATCAAAAGTGACAGTAAAGACTTATATTTTAAATAAATGCTGTTCTACTGTATTTATCAAAAAATCCTTAAAAAGTATATCAGGGTCTCTATAAAAATATTAAGCTGTACAACATTTTGATAATAATAGGAAATGTTTCTTGAGCACCAAATCAGCATATTAGATTGATTTATGAAGGATCATGTGACACTGAAGACTGGAGCTGTCATCACAGGAATAAATTACATTTTCAAAATATATTAAAATAGTAAACAGTTATTTTAACTTGTAATAATAATTCTTAATAGTACTGTTTTTACTGTATTTTCCATACTGTATAATGCAGCCTTGTTAAGCATAAAAACTCTCAAAACATCAAAAAAAAAAGGACTGAATGTATGTATATATGTAATATTAATAATTATTTGTATTTTATTTCAGGAAAAACAAAGAAGTACTTTCTTTTCCATATTTTACCTGTCCATTAACGCTGGCAGTCTTCTCTCCACTCTCATCACACCAATTCTGAGATGTGTGTATTTTGTTAAAATCCGAATAGCAATTTTTTATATTTGTTGTTACATTTTTCATGGTGCATTGGTAAATACACATACGAACAATCTATCTTGTCTTTGTGTATATTTGTTCTGTTTTTCAGCTCAGGACTGTGGTATCTACTCAAAGCGGAGCTGTTTCCCGTTGGCCTTTGGGGTCCCTGCAGCTCTCATGGTGGTTGCTCTTGGTAAGTTACAGCAGGTTTCATTTACTCTTATTTATGCTAACATGTGCAAAACCATTTATGACCACTCGATGGCAGCCTTGATGGACTGAAGTTATTCTCTCTTTCTCTCTGTGCAGTTGTGTTCGTCGCAGGCCATGGCATGTACATCATGGAATCCCCCAAGGGCAACATCCTACTACAAGTCATGAAATGCATTGGAGTAAGAGCATCAACCTTATATTTACTTAAAGAAATAGTGTTAAAGTTTTTGGAAAAAATTGTGATCAAATGAGACTTCTCAAATACAGTTCACATCCCATTAGTAGTCTATGGGCCAAATTTACTGGCCCGCAAACCCTCTTTTGCCATTAAAATATGGTAAATATTACATTTTGCCGTACTTATTCAGCAATTGCTATGCTATGCTAATGCTATCAAAGCATTGTGTGTTACCAATTAGCAAGTTAGCATTTATTGAAATAGCTAAATAAAGCCAAGTTTCCACTACTAAAAATATTTAAGTTGAAATTACATGATCATTTTAAGGTAAATGTATGAATTCGCTTACTCAAATATTTCAAGTTAAGAGTAATTCAATTCAAATGTATGAGTACAAAATACAAATCTGCAAGTTCTGCTTTGAATTTCTTAACTTAAAATGTTTTTGTTAAAGTTTTTGGAAAAATTTATGATCAAATGAGACTTCTCAATTACAGTTCACATTCCATTAATAGACTATGAGCCAGATTTACTGGCCCGCAAACCCTCTTTTGGCATTAGAAAATACTGTCAGTATTTACTAAAGACACGCAGTGAAAACTTTTTTACGAGTTTCCCTTTCAGACGCAAAGTTGTATTCAAGTTTATTTACTAAGGTTTGCGCTAGTAAATTTACTGGTATTTGCGCCATTATTTAATGCCCAAAAAAAGCACGTCATAAATCAAACACTAATTTGCGCTGTTCTTGGTAGATTGTGTTGGTCATTATGGAAATTATCCGGCTGCGTCTGTGTTCTTTAATTTGTGCGTCACAATTTTCTAATTTGGCTTGTTTAGTAAATCTGGCCCTATTTAACTTATATGTTTGATAAACACCAATCGGAATTTAATATGCAAATATTATGTCACCACCGGCAGTAAATGCCAAACATTCAGTCAGTGACCTTTTAAAACGTATATATATATATCCTCCGTGAAGTGCATTAATGCACAGCTAGCCGTGGATAATCCTGCTTATACCTCTCTAATTAATTTAAATAAATGCTATAATTCATTAATTCAAATAAATGTAATCTTACGCACTACTTTATCTCTGTGTATGATTCAAAGTGGACAGAATACTATCTAACAAGGCGTAACTGACAAAAATACTCTTTATCAAATATTGCGCTCCAAACATCAATAACAGCTTTGAGTTGTTAATGCTGGCAAATGACCATGGTATAAGCGGGATAATCCATGGCTTATCCCTTACATATTTAATTGTTGTGGTATGCAACATCAAGTCACATGGGAAAGGACTATCCAGTCTAACTAGATGATTGTTGTTTTTGTTTTCTTCTAGTTTGCAGTTAAAAACCGCTTTAAACACCGCAGTAAGCAATACCCAAAGAGAGAGCACTGGATGGACTGGGCAGATGAGAAATATGATGTACGTTACATTACAACAGGAAGATGTCCACACAGACATAACGAAGACTTTGACTGATATTCTGATATAATGAGACTGTGTCTTCTTTACAGAAACTCCTGATTGCTCAGGTGAAGATGGTATTGAAGGTGCTGTTCCTCTATATTCCTCTGCCGATGTTCTGGGCCTTATTTGACCAGCAGGTCAGTGCACAAGCACACAATGATGCTACAAATGCCGTACTCAACTATTTGTTCTTACACAAACACTCATCTGTTTTCCGGCTTGATGTTAAATCAATGTGAGCTGTGTTGGTTTTCCAGGGCTCCCGTTGGACTCTTCAGGCCACCACTATGGACGGTAACTTTGTACGTTCGAAAAAGCTTTGCATTTCAACTGTTTTAAAGGAAACTATATCAAGGCAGTTATATTGCAATATTTTATATTATTCTTTTTCTCTCTCTCTCTCTCTCTCTCTCTCTCTCTCTCTCTCTCTCTCTCTCTCTCTCTCTCTCTCTCTCTCTCTCTCTCTCTCTCTCTCTCTCTCTCTCTCTCTCTCTCTCTCTCTCTGTGTCCTTATAGGGAGCGTTTATAATTCAGCCAGATATGATGCAGGTGAGGCCGATTTATGCTACACCGTTTTTTCTTGTATTTTACTATAATTGCATCCAGATTAACAGGATATGAAATGATCAGGATAATATGTGATGATGATATTACATTATTTGACATGATATTAGTTATTTTTGTATTAACGTGATCAAAAATACAGTAAAAACTGTAATATTGTGAAATATATTTATGATTTAAAATAACTGTTTTCTATTTTTTCAATTTGTTTCTGTGATGTCAAAGTTGAATTTTCAGCAGCCATCACTTATATATCACAGCCATATATATATATACAGGCCCTTCTCAAAAAATTAGCATATTGTGATAAAGTTAATTATTTTCCATAATGTAATGATAAAAATTAAACTTTCATATATTTTAGATTCATTGCACACCAACTGAAACATTTCAGGTCTTTTATTGTTTTAATACTGATGATTTTGGCATGCAGCTCATGAAAACCCAAAATTCCTATCTAAAAAAATTAGCATATCATGAAAAGGTTCTCTAAATGAGCTATTAACCTAATCATCTGAATCATCTAATTAACTCTAAACACCTGCAAAAGATTCCTGATACTTTTAAAAACTCCCAGCCTGTTTCATTACTCAAAACCGCAATCATGGGTAAAACTGCCGCCCTGACTGCTGTGCAGAAGGCCATCATTGACACCCTCAAGCAAGAGGGTAAGACAGAAAGAAATTTCTGAACAAATAGGCTGTTCCCAGAGTGCTGTATCAAGGCACCTCAGTGGGAAGTCTGTGGGAAGGAAAAAGTGTGGCAAAAAACGCTGCACAACGAGAAGAGGTGACCGGACCCTGAGGAAGATTGTGGAGAAGGACCGATTCCAGACCTTGGGGGACCTGCGGAAGCAGTGGACTGAGTCTGGAGTAGAAACATCCAGAGCCACCGTGCACAGGCGTGTGCAGGAAATGGGCTACAGGTGCCGCATTCTCCAGGTCAAGCCACTTTTGAACCAGAAACAGCGGCAGAAGCGCCTGACCTGGGCTACAGAGAAGCAGCACTGGACTGTTGCTCAGTGGTCCAAAGTACTTTTTTTCAGATGAAAGCAAATTTTGCATGTCATTCGGAAATCAAGGTGCCAGAGTCTGGAGGAAGACTGGGGAGAAGGAAATGCCAAAATGCCTGAAGTCCAGTGTCAAGTACCCACAGTCAGTGATGGTCTGGGGTGCCATGTCAGCTGCTGGTGTTGGTGCACTGTGTTTTATCAAGGGCAGGGTCAATGCAGCTAGCTATCAGGAGATTTTGGAGCACTTCATGCTTCCATCTGCTGAAAAGCTTTATGGAGATGAAGATTTCATTTTTCAGCACGACCTGGCACCTGCTCACAGTGCCAAAACCACTGGTAAATGGTTTACTGACCATGGTATTACTGTGCTCAATTGGCCTGCCAACTCTCCTGACCTGAACCCCATAGTGAATCTGTGGGATATTGTGAAGAGAAAGTTGAGAGACGCAAGACCCAACACTCTGGATGAGCTTAAGGCCGCTACCGAAGCATCCTGGGCCTCCATAACACCTCAGCAGTGCCACAGGCTGATTGCCTCCATGCCACGCCGCATTGAAGCAGTCATTTCTGCAAAAGGATTCCCGACCAAGTATTGAGTGCATAACTGAACATAATTATTTGAAGGTTGACTTTTTTTGTATTAAAAACACTTCTTTTATTGGTCGGATGAAATATGCTTTATTTTTTGAGATAGGAATTTGGGGTTTTCATGAGCTGTATGCCAAAATCATCAGTATTAAAACAATAAAAGACCTGAAATATTTCAGTTGGTGTGCAATGAATCTAAAATATATGAAAGTTTAATTTTTATCATTACATTATGGAAAATAATGAACTTTATCACAATATGCTAATTTTTTGAGAAGGACCTGTATTATATAATTCTAATCGTGCATTTGTACTCACACTGATGTCATCATTTGTGCTGTGGTGCAGATCGTGAATCCCGTGCTGATTGTGATTATGGTGCCGATCATGGACTCTGCAATTTACCCACTTATCAAAAAGTGCCATATTAACTTCACGTAAGTACTGGGCAACGTATTGAAGTTGCATGTGTGATTGTGACACAACATGTTACGTGATCGTGTGATTTGCCGTTATTTCCAGGCCCCTGCGGAGGATGACTGTCGGGATGCTGGTTGCAGCGTTAGCGTTTGTGGCTGCTGCTCTTTTGCAGATTCAAATTGACGTAATTATCAAACAGATCCTTTGCAATCTAGCAGATATGTTGCAAATCTCACACACAAAACCTGATCCTTGAAGATTGTAATTGGTACTTGATGCTTATTGGCTTGATTTATGCCTTATCTTTCTGGCACAATAGTCATCACAAAGGATTTTATATTCTGTTCGTTCTCTGCAAAGAAAATCAATGCCTGTGTCTTTTAATCCAACAGAAAACAATCCCCAAGTTCCCATCAAGCTCTGAAACCCAGGTGAAGTTCCTAAACTTGGAGAACAAATCTCTGCCTGTTATAGTGGCGGGACAAGAACCGTTTGTTGTTCCTGGATCTGATGTAAGTCCACACAATGGCACATCAAATTTAACCAAACAGTGTTTGAAAGAATTGGAAAACCAGAATTAAAAGAAAGTAAAAATGGGTAAATGGGTGTCTCTTAAACTATGGGAATGTTGGCGCTACTCAGAAACTTTTTACTCTCTCACTAGTATTTTTTAAATAATCTACTGTCATGCCTACTATGCAAACATCACAGGAGAAATGTCATTTTTATATATTTCCTTACTAAATAAAAATTCAGACTATAGTGTCATTTCCTTAAATTATGTATTCAGGTGTGTTCTCTGATGGAAATGACATTTAATTTAAAAATAAATGTTAAAAATCTTTTTAAATTGTTTTTTAAAACAAACTTACTTTGTCTTATAGTGTTATGTATCAAATACATAACCAATAAATACAATTTTACCCAATACAATTTTCTGGCCGCAATTGGTATTAACCCTTCATATTTTTCTTTAATATTATGGTTGTACACTAAATTTAGAAAAAACTTTATTAGGGGCAGAATTGTTTGTTTCGTTTGACTTTGACACTATAACTGAGAGACTTGTTTTGAAATAATTGGTGTTATTTTCAAAAAATACATTTTGAAATTGTTAATATAAATTTTTTTTCAACTTTCTAAGACACACTACTATTCAAATGTTTGGGGTCAGTAACAGTTTCTTTTTCTAAGAAATTATTAGTTTTTTTCAACAAGGATGCATTTTACAAGACTTTAAAATTCTGTTATTTACATTATATTTCATATAAAAAAAACGATTTATTCATGACAGTGTTCTGCAAAAATTTTTGTTGTTTTTTCTAAATAGATAATGATAAGAAAAGTTTGAGCAGCAAATCAGCATATAAGAATGATTTCTGAAGGATCATGTGACACTGAAGACTGGAGTAATGATGCTGAAAATTCAGCTTTGCCATCACAGGAATAAATTAGATTTTAAAATATATTCAAATAGAAAACATTTATTTTAAATAATGCAATAATATTTCATTGTATTTTTGAACAAAATAAATGCAGCCTTGGTGAGCATAAGAGACTTCTTTCAAAAACACAATAAAATCTGTCCGCAAACTTTAAATGATAGTGTATTTCAAAAATCTGTTAGTTTTCGTGAAAATCAACCCCTGGGTCATAAAGATGTCTGTAGTTGAAGGAACAATATGCACATGTATACTGTATGTAACCTGTACATAAACATCTTGCATTGCAAACTCTTTTATGTTGTTGTGCTCCCCCAGTCCTCAAATGAATACATGACACTTGACGCTATGAACGTTGCAGTCTCTGTGGGAGGAAGAAACACTACAGCTTCTTTCCTGAAGGAAATGAGGCACACAGTTTTAATCAATTCTGATGGAATGCTTGCGACTGTAAGTGTTCATTTTGGTATTTCCTTGCATATATGTTGACTATTTTCCTTGTCACAAGGACATAGTAGTTATAAGGCACTGTGTTCATGTGTTCTTCTGATCAACCCTTTATTTTCATTCACAGCTCAATGACACGCGTGAGAAACCGAGCCAAGGCTTGAATACCATCAGGTTTAGTGCATTTTTAATTATTTTGTAATATTGAAAATTAGTGGCTAATTCAAATTTATTAACAGCAAACATATGTTTTAGGTTTGTGAATAGCTTTAGGTCTCCGCTGAACATCACGATAAAGTCTGATGAGCTGAGTTTACTCTCTCCCTTGGAAGGATCAGAATACTTAATGGTTTCCCATGGCAAGTACGTGCCGCTGTGTACAAATACATAACACATACACAATAGCTGTCGTACAGATAAAATTGCAGAGCAAACAAGTTGCTAGGCTGCTTTTCTTCATTGATTTGATGTCCCCTTCCCAGAGCCAACTTTACTATTGTGAACGTAGATGGACAGAAGTGCTCCTACATCATGCAGCTGGGCTTCGGAAGCTCCTACACAGTCCTGATCCCCAGCAACTTCAGTTTTGGACTAAATGTAAGTCACATTACAGCCACAAATTATAGTGTGAACACTATTAGGAATGGTTAGGACTAGAAATAGTTCATCCATATATGAAAATTCTGCCATTTACTCCTTATCCGTTTAGTTATTTACATTTAATCATTTAGCAGATGCTTTTGTCCAAAGTGGCTTACAAATGAGGAGAACAGTAGAAACAATTATTTAGTTCAATCTGGCCATAGAATAAAAGTCAATAGGGTCCAGAACAACAGTGAATAGAAAGTTCAAAAGAACAGCATTTATCTGAAATAGACAGCTTTTGTAACACTGTACACTACCGTTCAAAAGTTTGGGGTCAGTAAGATATAAAAAAAAAAAAAAAAAAAAAAAACATTTATTTAGCAAGGATGCATTAAATTGATCAAAACTAACAGTAAAGACATTTATTATGTTATAAAATATTTCTATTTCAGATAAATGCTGTTCTTTTGAACCATTTCTATTGAAAAAAATTGAACAAAACAATAATAATAAATGTTTCTCGAGCAGCAAATCAGAACGATTTCTGAAGGATCATGTGACACTGAAAACTGGAGTAATGATGCTGAAAAGTCAGCTTTGCCATCACAGGAATAAATTACATTAAAAAAATATATTCAAATAGAAAAGTGTTTTTGAATTCTAATAATATTTCACAATATTTCTGTTTTTACTGTATTTTTTTATCAAATAAATGCAGCCTTACCTTGTTAAAAAAAAAAAAAAAAAAACCTTTTGAACGGTGCGTTTATAGTGCTGTCAAATTGATTAATTGCATCGAACATAAAAGTTTGTGTATATTGATATATATGAGCTAACTTTTAAGGGGCCTGCCGGATGACAAATATATTATTGATATATTAAAACATACCAACTTGATTGGAATGCTAATATGTAAACTACAATCATATATATATATATTTTTTAGAATTTATATATATTTTTTGTAATCACAAAATGAATTGTGGATAATTACACATAATACATATATACACACACACATACATATAAACAGCAAATAAAAAGCTTTGTCATAATTACAGCAGAAATACCTGAGGAAATATCTTACCTGATATTAGTGGGCCTTTGAATATTGTGTTGGATTATGAGGGGCCTTCAGGTCAAAGGTTGAGAAGCACTGCGTTAAACTACTGTTGACTTACTGTCCCTATAGTGGCTTAGTAGCAGATCTAGCAATGATTTGATTGGTTGTTCATCTGGAAAGTGTAAATAACAAAGCATCCATGTCTGAATGTGTGCAGTGTCACGAGACCATTAAAGCAGTGCAGGAAATTGAGCCGAACGGAGTCCACATGGCCTGGCAGATCATTCAGTACTTTTTGATGACCTGCGGAGAAGTGGTCTTCTCCGTCACCGGTCTGGACTTCTCCTATTCACAGGTATGGAGTGCTCTCTGGAACTCTCGATATGGAGAAACACTCAAATCATGTCTCATAACTTGGCTGTGCTCCTTTTTAGGCACCAAGCAATATGAAGTCAGTCCTCCAGGCTGGTTGGCTGTTGACTGTTGCTGTGGGGAACATCGTCGTGCTCATCGTGGCTGAGGCGGGCTCACTTCCAGATCAGGTATACCGGCCGCTAATCTTTTTTTTTCTTCTTCTAATAAAATCCTAGTCAAATGTGACTTCTGTTGGCATTTGTGTTCCTCAAGCTCATGGGTATCTATGTGTCATTCTAGTGGGCGGAATACCTGCTGTTTGCGTCGCTCCTGGTGGCCGTGAGTGTCATCTTTGCCATCATGGCTTACTTCTACACCTACATTGACCCAACAGAAATCGAGGCTCAATTTATGGAGCTCGAGCCAGAAGATAAGAAAAAGAAAGAGCTTGAAATGATGACGAAAGACAATGTGGCGTACGTACACAGCGAGGACACAGACGTCAAACAAACGAAGATCTAGACGCATCGCTTCTTTTTTTCTTTCTCCTTATCTGTGGTTTAAAAGTGTTGGTGTTCCATTTACTACTGATGGAAGAACCGATTTACCATTTTTATCACAGTTAGGATTGGATTTCTTATCGCAGAAAAGACAATCAGCCCAAGAAAAAGCTAATTCTATCTAAAATCGAATGGTGTTTGGGACACCGACCAAGGGCAGAAGGTTTGGTGGTTTCAGAGAGTATCAGACTGTTAAGATCAATGTTAAAGTGGCAGTGTGTCACTGTCACGCGTGTTGGTGCCTTTGCAGGCAGGTTTTATTTATAAGTGTATTATGTTTCTGTATTTGTGGTTAGAATATTTTCTCAAAGATTCAATGCCTCTAAATAATTTGTATAAATAGCCATTCATCTACAACACCAAGTAATGGGTAAGACAGTATTGTGTTAAGTAATTCATTTTCACCTTAAGTTAATGCTGTTATTTTGTGAATAGATTTGCATCATTTGATGGGGTACAATAATAACGTGCCTAATAACTTGCATACCGACTATGAGCATTAGAGTTTAGCGTTTCCTGGATGTATTTTTAAATTATTGTATTTTTTTTTTACTTAAAACTGTAAATGGATTTTAAACTATATTGGGTTCAATAAGCTATGAAAGAATCAACTTTCGATGAAGTGCTTCAATATATATATATAAATATAGCTACCATGCTTGTTCCTCATTATGAAAACGTTTTGCCAATTAAAAATACTTTGATAAAAATCACATTTTTGTAAATTTGATAAGGATAGTTATATTGAATAGATTTTCACACCAAAACAGACAAAATAAGTTGGTAGGATCTCAAATCTTGAGTAAAACCCTTTAATTTCTTATTAAAATTAACAGAGCACCCCCAAAAATGTACATTTGATAAAAAGGCAAGGCATTTCAGTAATGGCCATTTCAGAAGCTTGATTTTTCTTTTTTAAATATTTACCTTTCTTTTGTTTCTAACAATATCTACAGAAGCTCTTGGCCATCTGTACACAGTGATTCATTTGCAAAAATCCATCATCTCTTTTAAAGGTCTGTAAAATTGAGACTATTTACACAGATCTGTACACAAATCCAAACATAGCGCCCTCTGTCTTCCTGGATGACTGGTCTGCTTGTTGGCAGATTACCTGAGATTTCAGCCGTGAGAACTGCAATCTCCTTCATGTCAGGGCTTGGATGCGCACGCACACCAACAGACATCCGTCTTCACACATGCATTTTGTTCAGAGTCATGCACACTATCTTGTATTTTGTTTCGGGTGAAGGAGGCGGTGACAGACCGGTCTCCTCGCCCTGTGATGGCATACACTTAATGCATTCTTCCAAAAGCTCGGGTGCAACAATGCAAAACGACCTGCCTCCATCTCACTCTGTACTTAGCCAAAGGAGTTACAACTACGTTTTGTCCATTGCTTAAGCAGCCTCCATTACAACCACACTATGACACATACACGCACGCGCGCACACACACACACACACACACGCTCCAAAGAGTGTTCAAGGAGATTATAAAAGAAAAGTGAAACTAGGGGAAGCTTGAGGAGTTTGATAAGTTCTCTTGATAAGCTAGTGAAGGACAGTTGGTCCTCCAGGGTAGACGTCACAGAGTCTGCTGGTGTCAGGATTCGCTGAGCTGATGCCGGGGGGGGGGCGGGACTGAAGAGAGACGGACAGGCGAATGGAATAATCACTGGTGCGATGAGGACGATGTTCTTTCCCTAGAGAACCTGCATGTAAGAAAAATGAAAGCTGAGAAATCTGTGCATGAAGGAAGCTTACTAGTTGACCAATAGATGCTTTACAGTTGGCCATTAGATCAAAGCAACCATGGATCGCAGAAGCGGTGGGGGCGCACAGGTTACTTTGGAGGTCTGGTACAAATATGACATACAAAAATACATTGGCAATAGGCCCATACGTATATGCACGGTTATTCATAAAAATAGAAATCTCGATTCAAACACGCGTGCCATCTTATTCCTAAATGAATATTTTATATATCTGCCATCTAACTTATACTATTAGCAGAAGTATGTGTGTACATTACGGATTTGGGACAATTATAATGCAAGATTCTGAAATGTTATCTTGTTTTAAAAACGTGACCCTTCTACTCCAGTGTGCTTTAGGTATGCCTCTCTAACACCCTCCTGCATTCTTTTGGTATGTTCCGCGGTCCATGAAAGCAACTGATGGATTAAACGTGCTGATATGTTTTCAAAACAAAGCAAAACATGATATATAAAGTTTTTAAAATAAATTAATACTTATAGCAAGGATGCACTAAATTAGTCAAAAGTGACAGTAAAGCTGCTTATAATGTTACAAAAGCTGGATATTTCAAAGAAATGTTGTTCTCTTGAACTTTCTATGCATCAAAAAATATTGAAAAAAAATGTATCAAGGTTTCTACCAAAATATTATGCAGCACAACCGTTTTCAACATTGATAAGAAGAAATGTTTGAGCAACAAATCCACACATTAGAAAGATTTCTGAAGGATCGTGTGACACTGAAGACTGGAGGAATGATGTTGAAAATCCAGCTTTGCCATCACAGGAATAAATTACATTTTAAAATATATTCAAGTATAAAAAAAAAACTTTTTTTTTTTTGAATGGTAGTGTACTTTCTCTCTGAATGTTTGGTATTCATTCTCACATCCTCACTTCATCTATTAAGGTTCATTTTGATTGGTTGCTTTGGCTCTAGAGTAGAAGCATGTCATGGTGATTTGTAATTATACTAAAATGACACAAAAAAAACTATCTTGGGAAAAATATGAGTCACAAGTGTGCAATCCTTACCGTTGTAGCCTTTGAACAAGTTGGGTGACCATGACATCCGAGATCCCTGGATATGCCTCCTCAGCGAGGAAAATGGCCTCCCCGAGCTGTTCCAGAACTTCAGGCTTTACCGTCGCTGCTGCAGCCTCTCCTGCCCCTTCCTTCAGCTGAGGACACACATCATTATACATGCAGCTGATGCCTTCTCCAAAGCACATTTATTATACAAGCAGCATCCTTGGAGTAAACTGGTAGTGACAGCAGTAATGAGAGCTTAACCCATAACTTTACTTTTACAAGCACTGATCGCTGACCACTAGGCAACCAAACTAGGGGCAATTGATTGTATATAACAGTATACATCACAATATTGCTGTTTTTGCAGGAAATTCAAACCAATTTTGTTTTACATATTACATAAATCACACAGTAATACATATTTCTTTGTAAAAGAACTGGATTATTTTTTTCATCAAATTAAAGTGTATATATACACACTTTACTTGGATTTCATTTGATGGATGCAAACTATTTTATTAAGTATAATTAACTATATAACGTGAATATATATATATATATATAGCAAATATCCCAATCACCCTGAATTCACCCTTTATATATATATATATATATATATATATATATATGTAATTATATAATATTATGTGATATTATATAATTTAACTGAAAAGTATTTTACATTATAATATGATACTGAATAATATAATAAATATTATTTATTATAAATATTAAGATGTAATACGGTAACACTTTACAATAAGGTTCCATTTTTTTTAACATTAGTTAACTATTAATTAACATGAACTAATAAATGGTATAGAAAGACTTTTCAGTGTTAATATCAGCTAATGTTAATATCAACATTTGCTAATACATTATAAAAAGTTGTATCTGTTAATATTATTTAATGGACATGAGCGAACATGAACTAACAATGAACCATTGCTCATGGTTAGTTAATGATAGCAAATGCAGTAAATAATATTAACAAATGAGTCAGACCTTATTGTGTTACCTATAATACTATATGTTAGTTAATATACGGGTTTAGTTAATCTTATTATATTGTTATAAATAACATAGTAATATTATGAACTGAATAATCTTAAGTAAAAACCAAACTGCTCCTTTTTTCAGCAAAGCTTCACAATGCAGTTTGGAGTAATTTGTTGATCGTTTTAAATTGTGCTGCACATATTCCGTGATATTGAAAAATCTTTACCATCTGACATCTACGGTCACATGATATGTCCCATAATATCGCCAACTTTAAAGACTATCTTCTTAGAGTCAAGAGTCCAGTTAAGACTACAGTGCACTGCACTCTTATGAAGAGAATGACAGGAAATGGAAGGATTTGTCCTTGAACGAAGAAGAGGGTGGAACAAATTAGTGTGCAGTCACTTGTCCCTGGGCTTTTTTCCCAGCATCCCTCTTTTTTCCGCTCTCCGCCTCAAATACCTCATTGCTCCATACTGATTAGTAAGAGGCCTGAGGGAGTGACGGCCACCTTCAAGATATGCTTTTAAGATATAATAAGGCATTCAAGGGACACGTTTAATCTTCATTCTGATATCTTTTACATACCAGTGGCGAAGCCATACATATCAAAGTGAGGGGACCTTGGTGAAATAGGGAAATGGGAGCCTACATAAGAAATGAGAAAACTTTCACAAGAAAGAAAAAAATATATAAACACACTTTGGTGTCCCAAAAAGGTTTTCAACCCCAAATAGGGTTGGACCAGTCACAGTGCCACCATAGCCAATATGTGACCTCACTGCTGTTAAGTACAAATATACTGGCTGATTTTAGTATTGACAGTTCAACTGTGGCAGTGATGTCACGTCCTACCTCGGTTAAGACTGGAGTGATGACAGTGGACAGACTTTGGGACAGGGGCCTCTTGATGGGCTCCTGTGGAAGCATAAAACATCATGTCACACACTGAGATGAACCGTTTACTCAACACAAGTCAGGTGTGGCCTTGAGCTCAGTCTCCTACCTCTTCTCCTGTTAGACTGGCTCCGTTCTGCAGCTTTTTGGGGTCTTTCTCTCGAATGGTGAAGATCCAGTCATCACTGCCAAAGTCCTTCCCACCAGACGCCTGGCCATCGGGTTCTCTGAGTGGAAAAGAGAAAATAGGAGGGATTCATTTCAAAGGAATAAAAGAAAAGGAAATGAAATAGGATGCATAAGAAAGGCTTAAGATTTTAAGAGAGGGCCAAAAACAAGAAGGGGAGCATCATCTAGATTACACAACCGGTACAGTTAGCCATTTCATTTGTTTATATTGTGGAAGTTATTCTTCCGGGTTTTACATGGTTTATACTTCTAATAACTAACCCTGGTTAGTCAAGTTTCCAAATTTCACACTAAGTTGGGTTGACATTCTTTTTATTTATTTATTTTTTGGATATTTACAATG